CCCCTAAATATCCGAAGAAGACGAAGAAAGAGATGAAGAGGAAAAAAATGATAATGATGATAATGAAGATGATGATGATAATGATTAGGAGGAGGAGGAATAGGAGGAAAAGGAGGAGGATGAAAATGAAGAAGAAGAAGAAGTAAGTAAGAAAATGCAGAAGATAAGATTCAAAGAACGAAATATTAAAGTGATGATAATAATTACAACAAAAAATAACAAATAAAGGAATGATATATAATAAAGAAATGGTAAATAATGAATAAAGAAATAATAAATAAAAAATAATAATAATTAGCATAACAGGAGGGGGGGGGCGAGAGTCTAGACCCCGAGGAGGCGCAGAAGCCGATCTCGTGACGAAGGCGCAGACGAGGGCACAGCTGACGGCAGAACAGTTAGGTCGCGGCGCCAGGTGGTGGGCGTGAGGTTCTGTTCTCGCGCCCGTCACGCCCCCCTGCGCCCACCGCCCTTATGTAGCCCGCCCGCGACGAGAGACAAGTGTCGATTCTTATGGTGACATGTCGATGAAATGCAGTGATATGAGAGGTCTGTTCAAGCATGCGTGTTTTCCTTTTCATATAATTTTCCTTCTCATGTCATTTTCATATCATTTTCCTTCTCATATCATTTTCATATCATTTTCCTTCTCATATCATTTTCATATCATTTTCATTCTCATGTCATTTTCATATCATTTTCATTCTCATGTCATTTTCATATCATTTTCATTCTCATGTCATTTTCATATCATTTTCATTCTCATGTCATTTTCATATCATTTTCATTCTCATGTCATTTTCATATCATTTTCATTCTCATGTCATTTTCATATCATTTTCATTCTCATGTCATTTTCATATCATTTTCATTCTCATGTCATTTTCATATCATTTTCATTCTCATGTCATTTTCATATCATTTTCATTCTCATGTCATTTTCATATCATTTTCATTCTCATGTCATTTTCATATCATTTTCATTCTCATGTCATTTTCATATCATTTTCATTCTCATGTCATTTTCATATCATTTTCATTCTCATGTCATTTTCATATCATTTTCATTCTCATGTCATTTTCATATCATTTTCATTCTCATGTCATTTTCATATCATTTTCATTCTCATGTCATTTTCATATCATTTTCATTCTCATGTCATTTTCATATCATTTTCATTCTCATGTCATTTTCATATCATTTTCATTCTCATGTCATTTTCATATCATTTTCATTCTCATGTCATTTTCATATCATTTTCATTCTCATGTCATTTTCATATCATTTTCATTCTCATGTCATTTTCATATCATTTTCATTCTCATGTCATTTTCATATCATTTTCATTCTCATGTCATTTTCATATCATTTTCATTCTCATGTCATTTTCATATCATTTTCATTCTCATGTCATTTTCATATCATTTTCATTCTCATGTCATTTTCATATCATTTTCATTCTCATGTCATTTTCATATCATTTTCCTTCTCATGTCATTTTCATATCATGTTGATCAGTTCAATATATACGTAAACAACAGTCATACTCATAAAGTCATCATGACGCATTGTTAAGAGTCATCACCTAGTCATGTGAACTACATAGGATGCTAGGAAGGTAATGCAGAATCATGTCCATCGCGAAGGAAATGATGGTCATCTCAGACTTGGTCGACAGTAAATAGACCATTCTTTATATTGTGAATAAAAAGTAATGAGAGTATTTGATGTGTATGCGCACACACTCACATATATACACGCGTGACTACACATAACCCCACATATACCTTCACCTATATATATATATATATATATATATATATATATATATATATATATATATATATATATATATATATGTATGTTTTTATGTCTGTCTGTCTGTCTGTATGTATGTATGTATACATGTGTATATGTATGTGTGTATGTATGTATGTATTTGTATGTATATATGTAGATATGAATGTCTGTACTTCATATATGTATGTATGCATGCATTATATATATTCGCCCCACAGCCATCATTAGTTTAAAATTTACGAGGAACTTGATTTTAAGCAATAACTTTTAAGAATGATTACTTATGACGTTTATAGCGCGACTGAACTTTTTTTCTATTAGTGTTTTGTGGATCACAAAATAGAGAAAAGTAAAAAAGCGAAGAAAAAGAGAAAAAGACAAGAAAAGGTGAGAGAGAGAGAGAGAGAGAGAGAGAGAGAGAGAGAGAGAGACCAACAAATAAACTCGCAAAACGTAAACTCACACAACCACACTTACACTTAACCGAAAAGCAGTGTTCATATTCATACAAAATCAGTCGAAAATACATAAAACCATACATGTTCCCTACTTTAATAAATTGCTTTCAACCAAAAAGTTCTACCAAGTTACTCCCAAGTTGACACAACCAAACAAGCGTTCAACATATACAACCATACAACTTTTCAACCTACAAGACCATCCAATTCCATCCAAGTTCTCATCCTATATAACCAAACTTCAACCTAACCATTAATCCCCATATCCAAGACCCATACAAAGTTCGCTCGAAGTCCACCCACTCACACCCTCCTTCCTTTAACCCCCCCCACCCCCCCACACCACCTCCTCCCCCTCAATGCGTTGAATGTGACGTCATGAAGTTCACCCCAAACGTTCATCTAGTTCAGTAGAATTGTTTTTAGGCGTTTTAGGCAGGAAGGTCAAGGCGCTTCCGCTTCCTTCTCTTGCTTTTTTTTGTGGGGGGGGGGGGAGGGGTAAGGGGGGTGGTATAAAACGGTCAAGAAAAAAATGTGGACGTGGTTCGATGTAGGATGTGGGATGTTGATATGTGGTGGGGGTGGGGGCGTTATGGTTGTAAACATATGCTGGTTGATAGGTGAATGCAGAGATTTATAAGGAAATTGGATATAGGAGCAGAAATATTTATTGGAAATATAAAAAAAATGTGTATGTAAATTGTGAATTATTAATGTATAAGAATATATATATATATATATATATATATATATATATATATATATATATATATATATATATGTAATATATATATTTATAATCATTTACAAAATACTAAAAACGATAGCATTCTTCGGATTCAGCCCTTATTATACATCCATATTAAGAAAAAAACAAGATAATATTTTCTTTCCGAATCACACCCCAAGGAACTGGCACGCCAAGCTTATGCCGTTACGTACAGGAATCAGAGCAGGCGATGCGGCCTCTGCTAACGTATGCGGCGTCGCTGCATGCGTGCGTGCGCATGCGTGTCTGTATGTGTGTGTGTGTGTGTGTGTGTGTGTGTGTATGTGTGTGTGTGCGTCTGTATGTATGCGTGTTTGTACTTATGTGTGCATTTTTCGTATGTGTGTTTGTATTTTGTCATTTAAAAGCACATACAAAAAAAGAAAGAAAGAAAATTCGATAAGAGAGAGAGAGAGAGAGAGAGCTTATCGTTTTTTTTTTCCAAGCAGAGATGAAAAGAATTCTCTTCTCATCGTTTTGCCCAAATTTAGTCTTTCCTGCTTCTTCCCCGCGTCATCAAAGTCTTCTTGATCGTCATTTGTGTTTACCCAATCTTTCGAATGTTCTGACATTTCCTTTTCTTTCTTAAGTTCTCGCGTTGGCCCCTTTTATCTTCCTTTCCTCCTCCACGTAAAAGCACTTTAACTGTTTATCTTTCCCTTCCTCCTTCGCCGTCAGTAAATTTCCTTTTCAGATCAAAAAGGGCCTAAGTAACTGCATGGCTGGACGGACGCTGATCAGTTCCGGAAATTGTGTTAAATTTCCTTCCTGTCTTCAATTATCGAAAAAAATCAGGTTAGGTTGGACAGGAACCGTTATTCCGCGATATGGCTGTGCACCTGTTCTACGACTGTACGCATAAACGAACTGAAGAAGAAAAAAAACAGGGGGATGACGAAAAGCTTTAAAATAAAGTTTGAATACTGTTTTTGTTGTGATTTTTTTTCTTCTTTTATGGGGGAGCGGGGGAGGGGTGTTGAGTGATGTGTTAGAAATAGGATTTATGATTAATGATTTTTATTTCCAGAATAATATAAGAAAAAATGAGATTATGATACGTTATCTTTAATACACTTTTTTATTAATAGTTTTTTTCTCTCAATTACAGTAAGAAAAAATACGATCGATAACTATTAAATATTTTTCGCAAACTTCTTTTCTCCCGAGTAATATAAGAAGGAAAAAAAATCCGAATTTACGATCAAAAAAATTTATACTTGTCTCGTTCCTCGCCGCCGTTAGCACATCCCCAGTCACGGTTTTTAATCCACGAAATGAGACCAAAGCCTTCCTCCTTATCGGATAAATAATCTGCACAGCCGTATGTGACGTAAATCACGTTTCGCCGAGCGTAACAGCGTAACATAAGGTCGGTAGCGTAACGTCCCTCGGAAACGCAACGCTCGAGATAGGAAAATAGGATTCATAAAACAGAATGAGATGTACGTGTCTTGTATTCAAATAAAGCTTGAGAACAAAAAAAACAAACATCTAGATAAGAACATAAGATCTAAAAGGTACCACGTTTAACATAACATTTTAAAATATGTCATAAAAAACGTTCTAAACCGCGCCATACGTAAACCCTAAAATCGAAAACGTAACCCCGGATAACGTAAAACCGAAAACTTACTACAATACACAAAATCGGGGGGGGGGGGGAATGACACAAAAAAAAATAGATACACAACCCTCATAACACACAAACCATATCCACAAGATCAGAAAGCTTTCATCCGCCCATCGTTCTGTTAAGGAAGACGAACAACAAAGACTCCCGAAGAGGGTGGAAGAGAGGGGGGAGGGGGGAGGCACCTAGGCATGGGCGTGGCGTGACAGGCGGCGCGGGCGGCGGCGGCGGCGGCGATGGAAGGAAGCGGCGGCGGTTCGCTCGTGGTTCCGGCGCCGTCCACAAGTCGGTCACGTGGTCGCTGAGAGAACCATTGACCTGCGAGGCGCGTGTGGCGGCCATGACGACGCGGCGGGCGGGCGGGGGGGGGGGGGGGGGAGCTCCTCATTATTCTTGGTTTTATTTCATCTTATTATTATTATTATTATTATTATTGTTCTTTTTCTTCTTCTCTTCCTACTTTTTTTTCTTATTATTATTATTATTATTCTCCTTTATCTTCATCTTCTCCTCATTTACTTTCTTCTTCTTCTTCCTTTTCTTCTTCTTTTTCTTTTCCTTCTCCCTCTTCTGCTCCTCCTCTTCTTCGTGACCTTTTCTTTCTTTCCGTGTCCTTCTTTTCCTCCTCATCATCTTATTTTCCCTTTTCTCCTCGTTCTCCTCACACACACACACACACACACACACACACACACACACACACACTCAAACACACACACACACACACACCACACACACACACACACCACACACACACACACGCACACACACACACACACACACACATACACACACACACACACACGCACACACACACACACACACACACCACACACACACACCACCACACACACACACACATCACACACACACACACGCACATGAACACACACACACACACACACACACAACACACACACACACACAACACACACACACACACACACACACACACACACACACACACGCACATGAACACACACACACACGAGAAAGAGAAATTACGTCTCGAGGGATTTCATCTTCCACGGTTTTGAGAACAGTGATTGGTGGGATAATAATACGTATATTTCTTTTTTGTTGTTGTTGTTGTTGTTGTTGTTGTTTTGTGTTGTGGTTGTTGTTCTTGTTTTAGGTGTTCGTTAGTAATTTGGAAGTAAACCGAGAAAAAAAACGTATATATTTTTTTTGTTGTTGTTGTTTTTTAGGTGTTCGTTAGTAATTTGGATGTAAACCGAGGAAAAAAAAACGTATATTCCTTTTTTGTTGTTGTTGTTGTTGTTGTTGTTGTTGTTTTAGGTGTTCGTTTGTAATTTGGATGTATACCGAGAAAAAAAAAACTTTAAAATTTAGAAATATTTAATTTTCAGGAAGGGAGGGAGGGAGGAAAGGGGGAAGGGGGGAAGGAGGGAAGGGGGTGAGGGGATAAGCTAATTCTAAAGCTCCTAACACCTGGAAAAAGTATGTTTTCTCACGACACACACAGAAAAAATGTCTCTTAAAAAAAAGAAAGAAGGGACATGTGAAACACAACTGCATTCAAGTCATTTTCTTTAACGTGAATTTTAGATAGCGACCAGTCCTTTGCCTCTCCCCTCCCCCCCTTCCTCCCCTCCCCTCCCAATGAGTTTTAATGGATGACACTCCCCCCCTCTCCCACCCCCTCCCCCCTCCACACACCCCAGCACCGTTACACGAATTTATGAATTTCTTCAAATGATATTCTTTTTCTCTGGCGAAAAGTTGCTTAGCTGAAATAATGACGAGTTGCCTTCCAAATCTCATTGATTGATTCAATTATTAGTATGATATTGGTCGGTGTTTATCGTTGATATATATATTTCTTTATAAATATCAATTGCGATAATTTAGATAGTTTAATAAAAATATAGTTGCATAAAAGAGAAATGTTTCATATTTTTTTCATTGCACAAGAATGCAACGTAATCCAATTTTTTTTTTCTACCCAATCACTAACATTACTTCCATAAACTATATACCAACAAACACGCGTCAAGTGGTACGGTTAAGCACGGTAACGACACGAGGGGGAAATTATTTTTAACGAGAAAAGAAAAAAAAAAGTGTGTTTATGTTGGCCGAACCGTCGAAAACTACTGGACATTTTTGGGTCATGTCCGAAGCACTGACGGTTACGCACGAACCTCCTCTCTTATGAGGCGCTGTTCGTTCCTTGGTAATTATCTCTCTGTTTTTCCTCTATTTTCGGTCGATTTCGCTAAATATATGTGTCGAAAGAGAAAAAGATCATGTTTTTTTCTTATAATTAACTCTTTTTTCGATGTATTTCGATGCTATTTATATAGAGAGATAAACGTTGGTAGAGATTGGTGTGTGTGGTATATGTGAGTAGCCTAGAGTGTGACGTATGTGAGAGACGTCTAGAGGAATTTTAACTCGTTTTATGACGTCAAGTTATAAGAAAAAAATGTTGAATATATCGGATTTTCCCACTATGTTCAGCGACTGGAGAATAAATCCAAGTTTTTTTTTATTAGACTTAAAACTATATCCATTTGCTATTCATCTCATCAAATCATAAAAAACTGCCATCAAACAACCAACAAACGAATAGATAAATAAACAGATAAATAAATGAACACCTAATCAAACTCGAAACTCTTGCCAACACGAGTATTTCTGTCGCAAACACGTCGCGCGTTTTCCCTCTATACTTCCGCGCTTGAGGGGAACGTAATGACGACAATAACGTTAAACTGCAGTAATTGCTTCCCACACTATGGCGCTTCCTGGTGGAGGAGGAGCAGCAGCCTCAGACTAGGCTAAAGTTATTACTGCTAACGGCAGATACTTGAAGGGGGCGAGGGGGAGAGGTGGGGGGAGGGGTGGATGCTGTGCAGTGTGGCTGCTTCTTAACGAGGCAATTTTATACCTTTTTGAAGTCGCTGTGAAGTCCAGTTATTCGTAATGTTACATACTGAAGATGATAGTTATGATAAATACAATACTTACCTTTCCCCTTTTAAATTCTACAACATTACTTTAGTTCATGGTGATAAAAAACAACGAAAGCAGCAGACAAAATATTCTAAAAACGATGAAGAAAAAAATAAAACGTAACTGAAGACTGCTTGAGAATGACTATTCCGGAAACCGTGAGAAGAAAATAAACTTATCATATCCGGTAGATAGGTATCGTTACTGGACGTGGAAAAATATATACAAAACTTATAATTGCATATTTTCCTTACGGAGATAATCTGATACGGAAAAAATACTCGTCCTAGATCATAATAAAGATAGAAACGCTTGTGGTTTGTACGCCATTGTATTAGAATATAAATATATACACATTTTTATAAACACGTAGGTACTGCCATATCACAGACATTATGATATATTTTTTTAAGATTTTACGAAAGGGTATTTTTGTACTCTGATGGTTGATAACGAAATTTAACACATAAAGACAAGTATATCGAATTCATCGCCATACACGATAACATGTACACAAAAAATCAAGGTGCAGAACGATATCCTTCGCTATACTAAAAAGATAAGAAAATATTCTTCGCGAGTATAGATACGGAGGAAAAAAATCTTATATGCAAGAATCAGTAGCCCAGGGTATCCTTCCTGACCCTGACCTCTCAAGAACACAAGCACCGACACCTTTACAGACGCCGAGCCCGAAGATCCTTCGTCAGAGGCGGAAGGAGAGATGCTGGGTTCCTCGCGAAGCTTCCTCGGCAGTCGGATGATTTAGCCATGGGAATTTTTTGGAGCCGACAGTTACTCCAGCAGCGACGTCTAGGCTCCTCCGGTGAGTCGCTTACGGTGATTCTGTTCTGCTTTGGTGCCGTCGTCCTCTTATCATCAGATGGATAGCTATTGATGGACTGATATCGGTTAAGTCATCAGATTAATGCGTCGCCGATGGATTCACTCCTCGGCAGATGTTTACGGGACGCGGGGCAGTGAGATTCCTTTTACAGCATGCTGTGATTACATTCCGGTTGAATGATACACAGTGTGGGAAGGTTGAAGCCCAAGAAAAGAGATAAGTAATTGCGAATCTTATAAGGAAGGACGCTCTTCAGGGCTCTGTTAGCGTGTGCGTTTTGGGGAGCAGGAGTGACCACAGTGAAAGTGTTGATTTGGCGATTGAGAAGCAGCTCGCACAAAAGGGTAAGCGCTGATAACAGGTAATAAACACGATAGAAAGAGCAAGTATCACGTGATTGTGGGAATTTCCGCCCACGAGGCACAGGAAGATTCGACCGAAGGAGAGTGGAAGAGTCATTCCCATTTTCTCGGGTTTATCTCCTTCTCACACGTACAAAACAGGAAATCTCCAGACGTTAAAAGTCCTCATTTTTCCTTCTCTCTTTCCTCCTTTTCCTTCCTCACCCTCGACCTCTCGAAGGAAACAGGAAGACGAGAATGCGTGGGACGATGGTGACCACACGAGACCGCGCTGTGCTGCTCCACTGCCCCGCCTGACCCACACAGCGCTACCTGGACGCCCCCCCCCTCTCTCTCTCTCCTCATTCCCCCCCGCGAACACACGCAGCACGCGTCGGCGCCGGCACCTGTTGCGCGCTGCCATGACGTGGACTGCAATGCGTGTGGTTTATGTATATGTATGTGCACACACAGATCATGTCTGAGTGTGTTCTTGTGTGTGTGTGTGTGTGTGTGTGTGTGTGTGTGTGTGTGTGTGTGTGTGTGTGTGTGTGTGTGTGTGTGTGTGTGTGTGTGTGCGCGCGCGCGCGTGTGGGTGCATGTGTATGTACGTGTGTGTGTGAGAGTGTGTGATGTTTTAGATGCATGCATGAAAACAAAAAAACGAAAACATATACATAATTAAGACGTTCTCGTATAAGGAGTGAAACCGCAAAAAAGAGTGAAAAAGCAAGAAACTCCCTTACTAGCATATCGACAGCGTAAACGTCTCGATCATACATAACGGGACACAATGAGAGAGAGAAGAAAAAAAAAACACACGGTTCATAAGTAAAACCGATCAATGGAATCCGAGCTTAACGCCAGCGAAAGCACTATTTGACACCGACTACAATCTCTCTAAATTTTCTCCCTCTCCGCGTAACTGGACTATCAACAGAAAAGGGATGGAAAAAATGCCTTCCATGAGAAAAATAGATTCGAAATTCACACGAAACTCGAGTCGAATTGGCTTCGAATCACCGAAGACGTTTCGAGCATCTTGCCGTTACGAATTCGATGCCGTGACTTCGATTTTTTTTTTTTACGCTTCTTCGCTGTATTGGCATCGTTGAAGCGTTTACCTCTCGTCTGGCATTACTGGCACATATATTTTTCCTTCCATGTTTTGTTAT